TATATATATATATATATAATAATAATAATAATAATAATAATAACAATAATAATAAATATAACAACAACAACAATAATAATAATAATAATAATAATAATAATAATAATTGTATTTGAATGGTCATTTGCTCAGAATAATACTCACTATCATTCTTACTTAGTAAGAAGTTTTGTGTTTAGGTTAATAGCATTGTAGCAATATAATATACTTATTTTAAATTTTATTTTTTATTAATTAATGTTGATTTTTTGAGTTGATAATAATGTAACAAATTAATAAATTTATTTTAGAATTTAATTTACATCTATTTTGCAATAATTTATCAAATAATTTGCATATATTTTGAAATATTTAAATTTTTACAAAAACTAAATAAATTTAATAATGTTGATTCGATTAACCCAACCCAACCTAACTTGTTCATGATTGGGTTGTGTTGGATTGAGTTTTTAAAAAAAAATTACATAAATGCAACTCAACCTAACCCATTAAATTTTGACTATGTCAGATAACGAGTTTATCCAAACCCGGTCTAACCCAACTAGCTTACACCCTTAATTTTAGAAAAGAAAGTTACAAAGATAATAAAAAATAAAAATAATATAAAATTGGTTCTTAATGAAATAATAAAAAATAAAAAATGAAAACTATTTACATTGACAGGATTCAAACATGAGTATTTTTTAATAAGCTAAATAATAAGTTATATTAAAAAAAATAAGCTTAATATATTTAGACTACCCATAAAAAACTTTATAACTTCTTTTAAACATTCGCATAAATATCTATAGAATATGATAAATAAAAATAAATTATTTATAAGTTCTTGACAACCTTAATGCAAATAGATTTTTAATTCTTTTCTTGTTTGCATTAAGAAAAAACTTTATTTTTATCATAAAATAAGTTAAACAAAATCTTATGTTTATTAATACCAGATATAAAAAAAATTTCATTTGATTTTACCTCATTCAAAATATTTTTCATTTTATTGAGATTTTATTTTTTAAAGTGACTGTTACTTTTAATAACTCATTTTTATTTTTGATATATCAAGTTTAAAAGAAAATTTTTTATCTATAAAACAAGAAAAATAATTTTAAAAAAATAGATTAGTTTTTTTTTCATTGGTATAAAAAAAAGCTCTTTTAATTAGCGCAAGTTTATTATTATTTTTTAAAATTCAGGAATGAAAGCAGTAGTGTTTACCTATTAAATTTGACTATAATAATAAATACATTCAACAATATCTAATAAAAAATAATTGAGATTAATTTTATTTTTTTGTCAACAATATTAATTGTTATTTTTATTAAATATATGATATAGTTAATTTAGTAGTATTATTAAATGTCATTTATAATAAATATATAAATTAGATGGTTATGCTCTACCAGTTTAAATATATTTTACACTCTCACTTAATCATTTAGAATGGCTCTTGAGTAATTTTTGCAAAAGAAAATAAATTTATTATATATAGTAATTTTTAATATAAAAAATTGAGTAGAAGAAAAACAAGTTAAAATACTTTATCATTTTTATAGTTTCACTTACTTTAATTTTTTTTTAATCTCTATAGTTTAAAATAAACTTTTTTAGTGTTTAGACTTATCTTTTTCAATTATTTTTTAGTCCTTATACTTGTAGTTTTTTTTAATCCATTTAGTCACTATAAATTTTTCTAAACGTCTATTTTGTGTTAATATGTTAGGGGTCTTCAATTTTATAACGGTAAAAAAAAGGATGTCTTAACGATGAACATCACATATGAGCATAAAAGAGACATGAAATATAAATAAATCGAATTTATTATAATTCTAACAAAATAAGTTCCAGATAAAAAACAGACAAACTTGAATTATAGTCACATCAATACAAAAAAGGACAATATTATAAAAAAAATAAAAGAATTAAAAAAAATGCTAATATAATAGATTAAAAAGATCTATGTCAAATTCTAGTAATTGAAAAGGATTGAAAAATATAAGTATAAAGTATAAAAATGTTAATTTTACATTATAGAAAGTAAAATATAAAGTAAGAAAAATATTATAAAAAAAATATTTTTTTTTTTTAAATTACACCGTTGGTACATAAAATATAATGTAGCACTGTTTCATGAGGCTTTTAGTGCTATTAATTATACTTCATAAATATGACGTTAAATAAAATTATTAAATTTAATTATATATTATATGTGAAACATATAACATTTAATGGTATATAAGGAAAAGATTATATATATATATATATATATATATATATATATAATTCGTATAATTTTTACTAAGTATTATATTGTTCAATAATTTTATATTTGTAAATTTTGTAAATCCAATTATTAGATCGAAAGTTCATATTACTTTATATATTTATATCAAGTTTTGTTAAATTTGAACAAGAACTTGAAGTTTGTTAAAATTGAACAACAACTTAACAGTGTGTTTGGATATGAAATTTAAATAAAATAATTTATTTGTTTGAAGAATTTCAAATTCTTTATTTGGATGAAAAATTTACAAAGAATTTGAAACCCAAGCATTTCTGAAATTTCTTGAAATAGTAAAATTTTAAATTCTCCATAAAAAAATAATAATTTAAAATTTCTTATATTTTTTTTTCTTATTTCACTTATATATTTTATAATATCTCTTATTTCTTCATATTTTTAATTATTGAATATTTAAAATATTTTTAAAATTATTAAATATTATCTAATATTAATTTTTAAAATGATTAAATATTTAAAAATTGGGTAATATTTATTTTGATAAAATTTTATTTAAAAATCTCAACATACAAATATATTTTTAAAATCAATTTGACCATGGTAAAATCAAATTATCATATTCAAACTAATAATTTAAAATTTTTAAGAAATTTGAATTGATTTATCCAAATAAAACATTTTAAGAAGGATACAAAATTGAAATCAAAGTAATTCAAATACCAAGAATTTCAAATTCCTTGAATTTGTAAAATTCCTCATCCAAATACATCATAAAAGTAATCAAAGTGTTCACATTTTATTATATTTTAAAATATATATATATATTAGGTCAATTTTGTTTATAATACTTAGTAAAATTTACATTAGTGTCATTTGAACCCTCCTCTTTAAATAATCATAATACCAAAGACTAAAAATAATAATTTAAAATTTTATGAAAAACAAAATAAAATAAAGATTACATGATCAAAATCATAAATTATATATTTTTTCTTCTTAAATATAATTTTCGTCCTCCTTTTCATTTTTAATCTTTTGTTGTTGTTTCCTCTTAATGTTTTATAACATTTCAAAAATATTTCATGTCATCAGTTCCAATTAAAAATATTCCGTGAAATATAACCAATATTTTTAATTGAAATTAATGACATAAACTATTTTTAAAATAGAATATAACCAATATTTTAATTAAAATTAACGACATAAACTATTTTTAAAATATTATAAAAATTGTTAGGATGAAAAAAAGATAAAAATTAAAAAGTGATAAATTATAGAAACAAAAATTATATTTAAATTTATTTTTTTTATCCTAACAATCAAAAGCTAAGCAACTAATGAACCAAAAAATTAGATAAAACAAGAATAATTTCAACAACCAACCCAAGAACTGCAGCATACTGTGGAAGCTTGGAAGGATCATGGTAACGAGGATCAGATGGTGACTCTCCCGAAATACAATCATCAACATCAGTTAATATTGCTGATGCAGCTGTATTAACACCTGCGTAATCTCGTTTCTTCAAAAGCTCTTGAGTATATTCAACATCGCCAAGGGCACCCTCAGAGCCAAAATGTTCCAAACAGGATGTGTAATGGCTTCTTCCCTTGGGATCCTTAGCACTATGTGCAATCAACTGTTTGATCAATATGATTGTGTTAGTGACATTTGCACGTGCTATGTTGATGGTGTATTGGGTAAGGGTAACAAGGTTTGCATTGGGGTGTGAGTTTAGAAGAGTGAAACAAAATGAAGGGTTTTTAGTTTGCTTGCAAATGGCATTCACTTTGCTAACTGGGATTGCATAGGAGGTTGAAGGAAAGAAGAGAATAAACACCAATACAAGAGAAGAGAAATTAGAATGCATTGTGTATATTATCTTGTTTCTTTCTATTGAAAACTTTAGTTTTAGTTCATAATGTAATTCAGAATTCAGACTCTTCTTTATAGTTCTCGATTTAAAATATAAAAAAAAAGAAAAACTTGAGATTGAATTTAACGCAAATTCATTTAGGGATGCAAAATTTATTAGATTTAATGTACAAATTGAATGCTTTTTTTATTTACATAAAGAAAATACTAAATATCTTTAAATTTTGGCATTGCAAGTTTTTTTTAGATTTCGAATATTCTTCTTATTTCCAAAAATGAAATACCGGTTACTATTCAAGTTTGGCCGTGATAATAAATGCATTTAATAATATTAAGTGCAAATGTTATTTGGAACTAATTTAAAAAATAATAATTACTTTTGTCAATTATTGTAATTTAGTTTAAACGTGTTTTTAGTCTTTATGATATACAATTTTTCTATTCCGGTCATTGTAAACATTTTCTAAAATAGCTTTTGTAAAAAAAAATTTATTTTAGTCCGCTTAAAGTGTATTTATTTTTTCATTTTAGTGTTCATGATATTTTGTTCATTTTAAGTTAGTTCCTTGAAAATCTATAATGGGGACTAAAAGAAAATTATTCATGTATTACCAAAAAAAAAGGAAAAACGAGTATATTACAAGACAATTTTAAAAAGAAAATAATTTTATAAACCAAAATCAAAAAGTCATATATTACATAATCAAAAGTATATTTAAGCTTTATTTTATTTACTTAATAAAGTATATGGTTAATTTGAATAAGACGATCAAATATCATATATTATAAATACAGAATCGAGTTGACTTAGTGATATTGGAATACTGTACACAAGGTATTAGGATTGAATCTTGTTAACATCTTGTAATTCATCTATAGTTATTAATAAAGGAAACGTAGTAATACAAATAATATCGAATAAATATATATATCACTAAGATTGATTTAGTAGTGAAAAATTAGGATAGGAAGTAAAATATATTATGCTAGAATATTGTTGTTACCATTGTAATTTTTAATTGTCAATTTTTTTTTTGAATAAATATAATATATTGATGATTTTAGTAAATATATATATAACATATTTAAATAAAAGTTTGATTATATAATGTAGTATGTAACGCTATTAAATAACATCTAACAAATATATTGCTACATTTAATATTATTGATGTAGAATTTAATGTTCTTAAAATAATAATAATAATAATAATAATATTATTATTATTATTATGAAAATATTAATATAATCGTTTATTTAAGTATATTTATCTAAATAATTTTATAAGAATAATAATTAATTTTAATGTATATTTTAATATGCATATATAGGTACAATGTTGTAGATTAAATATTCTCGTTTAATAAAATATTTTAAGTATGTAACGCTATTAAATAACATCTAACAAATATATTGCTACATTTAATATTATTGATGTAGAATTTAATGTTCTTAAAATAATAATAATAATAATAATAATATTATTATTATTATTATGAAAATATTAATATAATCGTTTATTTAAGTATATTTATCTAAATAATTTTATAAGAATAATAATTAATTTTAATGTATATTTTAATATGCATATATAGGTACAATGTTGTAGATTAAATATTCTCGTTTAATAAAATATTTTATACATAAAAAAACATAAAATAAAATAAAAATAAAAATAAATCATACATTTAATAATAATATGGAGCTTGGATAGTTGGCTTTTGCGGCTATGTCGGTCATACAAATAATACTCGTCTTACCGTTTTTGAGCATTCCCAAGCACTTTGAGCATGGCCCTGTTTTCTGATGCCTTATGATCTTAGTTTCACACATTTATATTTTTCTATATTGTTCCTCTTTTTTTTTTCTTTTTCTTTATGTTATCTTACACTACCAAAAAAAATCATTTAATAATATATTATTAACACAATATTTATGTTTAATTGCATTTTTGTTCACTTATATTTCATTATTTTAAGAATTTGTTATTCAATTTTTAAATTTATATATTTTGTCATGTCTTTGATTAATTATCTCACATATTATTGATTGATTGTTGACGAATTTGTTATCGTAATTCACTAATCATTATCATGAATTAATATCGTGGCATATATATTAAGATGTGACATAATATATTATTTTTTCGGTCAACACATCATGTTAACAATAATGTTACTTTTAATCATTAATTTGCTACATCAATAATTAATTAAAAACATTAGGCAATCAACTTAAAAAATAAAATAAAAATGTGCCAAATTTTATATGTTGGATAATAAAATGTACAAAATAAAAAAAAAATCAGTTGAGAAAAATCACAAATCGTAAAACATGTTCAATACATAATGCAAGGCCTTAAGTTTATTATTATTCTATAAACTAGTCAACTAAGGACATGTTTGTTATTTAGTCTAAAAAAACAAATTTAAAATCTTATTTTAACATATGATTTTAAGAATAAAATATCATTTTATAATTTTGAATTTCTTAATCATTTAAACATTTAAAGTAGACAAATTAGGACATAATAGTTATTTTTACAATTTTCAAGGCCTGGACTTATAATGAACGGTTAAGCTGATCAAAACCCTAACCATAATAAGGAACAAAATTTTGTGATTCCCTTTAACTTCTTCCCGTATAAACTTTAGAAATAAAGATGAAAGAATAATTCTAAAATTTTGGGTGGTGCAATTCTGAATTTTACAAATGTTACATGATATAGGGAGAAAAAAAAAAAAAAACCTTCCCATTTTAACTTTCTAATGAAGCATCGGAGTGCTTTATTACTTTTAAGAGAAAAACCTGCCATGCTACCGCTATCTTCTGATTCCATCCTTTGAGAAGCTTTTCCATTGTTTCTCTATCTCAGAAAAGCGAAGCCTCTTTCTTGCTGCTCTTCGTTTTCTTCTGCCCCCTTTCCTTCTCTTTATGAGGAAATTCCTTTCCTTTTGGTGAGCTAATCACAACACCCTTAACTTTGGGGAGTGTTCTTAAAGCATCTTCTTCACATCCAAAGAGGATAAGATAATGTGTTTCACCTTTTTTTTTTTTTCTCTCCTTTATCAGCTAAGGAAATTTCAACAAATTTATTGGATGCGATTTTGTTAAGTAAAAGTTTAAAAGATTCGGTGTTTTTTTTTTCCTTATCATGGATTTTCTCTAAACCCAATGAATTAGAGATTAATTTTGTTCATAATACTATGATTATAATTGACTCAACAAGTTTTACATAATTGAACATGGATTCTTCATAAGATAGATGGTCACTTCAATGTGTGAGCACAAATTACGGATTGGGTGGTTTGAGATGGAAATGAGTTCCTAAACTTGAATCACATCCATATAACCATTATCAGTGTGATAACAATTACTCAAATCTTTTGTTAAGAATCTAACTCAACCTTATAAAATTGGCTTATAAAATGAAAATTATTCATCACTTATATACACTATTATGATCTTATTTCTAACTAATGTGAGATCTTCAACAAATTTATTAGATAGGATTTTGTTAAGTGAAAGTCTAAAAGATTCAGCATTTTCCCCTATCATGAGTTTTCTCTAGCCCATTGAATTAGAGATTAATTTTCTATGGAATTTGGATTCAATGGTTTGAGATGGAAATGAGTTCCTAAACTTGAATCACATCCATATAAGCATTATCAGTATGACAAAGACTACTTGTGAGACCCCATTTGTCGCTTTCCCTTTTCTCTTCCTCACTATCCTTTACCTTTACTTGCATTCTCTCTTCTTTCCTTTCCTTGGACCTTGTTCAATTCTCTAATCCTTGGTGGTTGTAGGTGCTAGCTGAGAGTGAGTCGATTCCCTTCTTCCATGTGCCATTTCTCAAGCTTATTCTCTCTTCTCCTTCCCGAAAGCTCGGAACCTTCTTCTCTGAGGTAAGGGAAGTTAGATTTTTTGCTGGATTGGATGTAAATGAGTCTACCAACTCATGTGCCGGTTGCTTTTAGAAGATTGATGGTTTGATTGATGAAAAATGTGTTTTCGGGGTTTTGGGGTTTTGGTTGAAAATTTGGGTTTTTCACGTTTTGATGGTTGCATGTGGGTAAAGCTGGGGTTTTTGAGTTGTTGGTTGAAAATGTGGATCTTTGGGTGGTTTGCATGTGTATGGATGGCTTGATTGTGCAAGTTTTGATAAAAAATTTTGAACTTGGAGAGTTGCTGCTTGGTAGCATGCCGAGCGCAGTTCTTGGCGTTGGGCGCGTGACCATCAGGGGGCTCTATTAGTCAAGGTCTTCGGGCGCAAGGTTGTGTGCACCGGGCGAGCTTGAGGATGGATGCCTCTAGATGGCTCACACTGGGCGTGGTTGGACCACGTTGGGTGCGTTATCAGTCAGTGACTCACTTTTTGGGATTCTGGTGTGGTGTCGGGCGTCACTATGTCTCGCCAGGCGTGGAGACTCCTTGGGAGTCTCTGCTAGGGGTGGCGTTGGGCGCAATTGGTATTGCGCCTAGCGTTAGACTGTTGAGATTTCCGTTTAAACACTTTTGTTTTAATCTATCCAAGGAGATGAGCTAGGCTGCCAAGGGCGATTCTTCACTTAGTCCAATCCAAAATTCTTGGAATTGGTTTAGTTGGGTTCACCAAATGATGGTGAGACCTAGCTAAATAATTTCCTTGGAAAAAAAATGGAGGAAAATAAGCCCAATATGTAAAATTTAGCCTAGGTTCACCTCTAGCCCAATTACTAGTTACAGCTACACACCTTACTATTTGTCACCCCACTTCTACTACTAAAAATATGAAAATTAATGACCCTTAATACAAGATCAAATGGAGCAAAAGTCTCCAAGTAAGATACCATAAAATCCCAAAGGGATATCCTATAAGAAAATAAAGAAAGAGCCTCACAAATACAAAGGCAAAATAAACCTATACAAGTAACTACTATGTATAAGTATCTTACAAGGTATATACAATGGAAACTAAGGGACTAAAAAGAGAAATCATACTCAATTCTCATGAAGAGCATAGGTCTAATAAGCACCTCCTTTATAAAAGCCTCATCTAGCCTCCTAACAATGGACCTAGTTAAAGGCCTAATGGTCTTCAACTATGAGCTCTTCTATGGATCAACCTTCACCTTTCTTGGTCTTTCCTCTTCCAAAGGGATCCTTAGGGATTAGATTTCCTTCAAAACCTTTCCATTTGCATACATCAAAAAGTACTAAAGAGGCTTAGGGATCACCTTACCAACCACATTCTTTATATGTACC